CACACAGACCCCACTGACCCTACAAACCCCACACAGACCCTATAACGACCCCGTTGACCCTACAAACCCCCCCCAGACCCCCCGTCCCCCCTCTGACCCTATAACGACCCCATAAACCCCCTATAGGTCCCGATGGGCAGCGATTTGGGGTGGGCCCACAAGTTATATGGCCGCCATTCGTCTTCACCCTATTTCCGAAAACCCCGAGCGGAAGACGGGACTTTCGTCGTCAGGCACTTTGCCTATGAGGTGATCGACCCTATAAAAACCCTATAAGGATCCTAGAAACCCTTCGGACCCCATAAGACCCCATAAGACTCCATAGAAACCCGTAAAACCCCATAAGACCCCATAAGATCCCATAGAACCCCGTAAGACCCCATAGAACCCCATAAGACCCCATAGACACTCTGTAGGACTCTATAAGTCTCTCTGACCCTATAAAGACCCTATAAGGACCCTAGAGACCCTTCTGACCCCATAAGACCCCATAGAAACCCATAAAGCCCCATAAAGGACCCCATAGAACCCCATAAAACCCCATAAGACCCCATAGAACCCCATAAGACCCCATAGAGACTCTATAGGACTCTATAAGCTTCTCTGACCCTATAAAGACCTTATAAGGATCCTAGAAACCCTTCTGACCCCATAAGACCCCATAGAAACCCATAAAGCCCCATAAAGGACCCCATAGAACCCCATAAAACCCCATAAGACCCCATAGAACCCCATAAGACCCCATGGACACTCTGTAGGACTCTATAAGCTTCTCTGACCCTATAAAGACCCTATAAGGATCCTAGAAACCCTTCTGACCCCATAAGACCCCACAGAAACCCATAAAACCCCATAAGACCCCATAGAAACTCATAAAGCCCCATAAGACCCCATAGAACCCCGTAAGACCCCATAGAACCCCATAAGACCCCATAGGACCCCATAGAGACTCTGTACAACTCTATAAGTCTCTCTGACCCTATAAAGACCCTATAGGGACCCTAGAAACCCTTCTGACCCCATAAGACCCCATAGAAACCCGTAAAACCCCATAAGACCCCATAAGACCCCATAGAACCTCATAAGACCCTATAGAATCCCATAAGACTCCACAGGACCCCATAGAGATTCTATAGGACTCTATAAATCTCTCTGACCCCATAAAGACCCTATAAGGACCCTATAAGCCTTTTTGACCCCATAAAACCCATAGAACCCCATAAAGACCCCATAGGACCCCATAAAACCCCGTAAGACCCCAGAAAACCCCATAAGATCCCATACGACCCCATAGAATTCTCTAAGACTCTATAAGGACCCCATAAGACCCCGTAGAACCCCATAAGACCCCATAAAACCCCATAAGACCCCATAAAACCCCATAAGACCCCATAGGACCCCAGAAGACCCCATAAGACCCTATAGAATCCCATAAAACCGTACAGAGACACAATAGGACTCTATAAGCTTCTCTGACCCTATAAAGACCTTATAAGGACCCTAGAAACCTTTCTGACCCCATAAGACCCCATAAAAACCCCCATAAAGACCCCATAGGACCCTATAAGAACCCCATAAGACCCCATAGAACCCCGTAAAACCCCATAAGATCCCACAGAACCTTATAGAACCCCATAAGACCCCATAGGACCCCATAGAGACTCTGTAGGACTCTATAAGCTTCTCTGACCCTATAAAGACCCTATAAGGACCCTAGAAACCCTTCTGACCCCATAAGACCCCGTAAGAACCCATGGAACCCCATAGAACCCCATAAGACCCCATAGAACTTTATAGGACCCCAGAAGATCCCGTAAAACGCCATAAAGATCCCATAGAACCCCATAAAACCCCATAGGACCCCATAGAACCCCATAAAGACCCCATAGAGCTTTACAGGACCTCACAGGACCCTATTAGACCCCACAAGACCCCATAGGAACCCATAAGACCCCATAGGACCCTAAAAGACCCCATAGACTTTTATAGGACCCCATAAGACCCCATAGGACCCCATAAAACCCTATAAGATCCCATAGGACCCCATAGAACCGCATAAGACCCTATAGAACTTCATAGGACACTATAGGACCCCATAAGACCCCACAAAACCCCATAAGACCACATAAAGCCCCATAGGACCCCATAGAACCCCATAAGACCCCATAAGACCCTGTAGAACCTCATAAGACCCCATAGAACCCCATAAGACCCCATAGACCTTTATAGGACCCTATAAGACCCAGTAAGACCTCTTAAGACCCCGTAGGATCCCATAGAACTTTATAGGATCCCTTAAGACCCCATAAGACATCATAAAACCCTATAATACCCCATAGAACTCCATAAAACTCCATAAGACCCCATAAAACGCGATAGAACCCCATAAAGACCCCATAGGACCCCATAAAACCCCATAAGACCCCAGAAAACCCCGTAAGATCCCATACAACCCCATAGAACCCTACAGGACTCTATAAGGACCCCCATTGGACCCCATAAGACCCCATAAGACCCCATACAACCCCATAACACCCCATAGAACCCTATAAGACCCCATAAGACCCCATAAAGACCTTTGTAGGACCCCATAAGACCCCATACAACCGCATAAGACCCCATACAACCGCATAAGACCCCATACAACCCCCATAAGATCCCATAAGACCCCCACAAAACCCCATAGAACTTTATAGGACCCCATAAGACCCCATAAAAGCCCATAAAACCCCATAGGACCCCATAAAGCCCCATAAGACCCCATAGAACCCCATAAGACCCCATAAGACCCCATAGACCTTTATCGGGCCCCATAGAACCCCATAAGACCCCATAGAACCCCACAAAAGTCCATAAAAACCCCATAAGACCCCATAAAACCCCATAGAACTTTATAAGACCCCATAAGACTCCATAGGACCCCATAAGACCCCAGAAAACCCATTAAGATCCCATCCGACCCCCTTAGAACCGTATAAGACCCCATAGAATGCCATAAGACCCCATAAGACCCCATAGAACCCCATAAGACCCCATAAGACCCCATAGAACCCCATAAGACCCCATAAGACCCCATATGACCCCATAGAACTCCATAGAACCGTATAAAGCCCTTTAAGACCCCATAAAAACCCCATAAGACTCCATAAGACCCCATAAGACCCCCATAAGAGCCCATAAAGACCCCATAAGACCCCATAGGACCCCATAAGACCCCATAAAACCCCATAAGACCCCATAAAACCCCATAAACCTTTATAGGGCCCCATTAGACCCTATAAGACCTCATAAAACCCCATAAAACCCCATAGAACTCCATAAGACCCCATAGACCTTTATAGGACCCTATAAGACCCCTTAAGACCCCATAGGACCCCATAAAACTCCATAAGAACCCCATCAGACCCCATAGAACTTTACAGGACCCCATAAGACCTCATACAACCCCATAGAACCCCATAAGACCCCATAGACCTTTATAGGACCCTATAAGACCCTATAAGACTCCATAGGACCCCATAAAACCCTATAAGACCCCATAGAACCCTATAAGACCCCATAAGACCCCATAGACCCCCATAAAACCCCATAAGACCCCATAAAACCCCATAAGACCCCATAAGACCCCATAGACCTTTATAGGGCCCCATAAGACCCCATAAAACCCCATAAGACCCCATAGACCTTTATAGGGCCCCATAAAACCCCATAAAACCCCCATAAGACCCCCCTACGACCCTATAAAACCCCGACCCTACAAAAACCCTACAAAAAACCCTACAAAAAACCCCATAAACCCCGCAGGTTCGATACGACAGCCGGGCTTTCGTGGAGAAGAACCGCGACACCGTGTTCCAGGAGCAGCTGGGCCTCGTCGCCGACTGCGGGGTCAGCGCTATTAGCCCGTTATTAGCCCCTTATTAGCGCTATTAGCCCGTTATTAGGGCTAATAGGGTCCTTATTAGGGCTAATAGGGGCGATATTAGGGGTTATTAGTGGATTATTAGGGGTTATTAGGGCGGTTATTAGGAGTTATTAGTGGATTATTAGGGCTAATAGGGTCGTTATTAGGGTTATTAGTGGATTATTAGGACTAATAGTTGGTTATTAGGCCTAATAGGGTCGTTATTAGGGCTAATAGGGTCGTTATTAGGGGTTATTAGTGGACTATTAGGGGTTATTAGGGGTTTTTAGGGCGGTTATTAGGAGTTATTAGTGGATTATTAGGAATATTAGGGCCGTTA